TTTTAATAATTTATAATACCTAGATCTCTAGGAAGGATTTGATTTTTTTTTCACTCACTAGTATAGGCAAATATTGATGGCTGCATCTAATGGTTAACGTAAACAATAACAAAAATATTGTATGAACTGTATAATATATTAAACGCAGTTATGAAGTCTAGTCATTGAGCCTATGGTACACTTATTTTTTTTGTATAAGAACACACTGTATAAAAAAACCCATGGCTGAAATTGCTTAAAAAATAAGAACAAAATTTGATTAAAGTGAGGCTTAGGTCCGATCCTAAAATGCGTGACTGTAAAATTATTTTGGTCATACCTGTACCTTATAACACTGAGCTTGGGCAAACTGTTATTGGTTCTTATAGAAAGAAAGAGTATTAGCCTATATACAGCTCATTCTTGGTTCCCCCATTCTCAGCTGGTGCCGCAATTAGGCCTACCGTATTACTACCGATCCTGTATGCCGCTCTGTGTTATTGTGGTCACTACCCGAATTAATTGGATTGATTAGTGCTGCATTGTTACATATATTTGCTGTATAGGCGCGTTAGTATGGCGCACAGTAATTGACTAATTAACAGTAATTGATGACAAGAACAATTAGCAGTGGGAACAACAGGGTTTAAATACTCTCTCCATGGAGTAGGCACGTAACAGATTATGGCAGCAGTATTCCCATAGCCACAATTGCTCATTTAGTTAGGGTTGCATTTTGGAGCTAGGTAGGCCTACACAGTCATGTAGGCCTTAAATATAATGCAAGTCTATTGTATTTCCTTACTACATGGTAAAGAGATAAGCCTACTGTTAATCCACTTGATTAAGAAAGTGAGCATGCGCGGTGAGAAAATGAGATGAAATAATAAACCCATATACGTAGATTATACCTCCATGATATAATGAATCTAAACGTCTTCTTCCCAATATAGGCGGCCTAACGTAGGATTTAACTTTTTCACACCTTACCAGTAGGCCTATATCTTCATGCAGTATATCAGTTAAGCCAGGGAGGTTCAGTACGGAACTTCCTAGGTTTCAATATTTATCAACATGCTTTAATAGGCCTATATACTTTTAACAATTAAAAACATTAATGTAACCATTAGCGATTCTGCCCATATAAATAAATACCGTGCTTACTTTACAAAGGTCTAAAACACCCTATTATACATTCGCATTAAAATTCACTTTAAAGTTAGACTCGTTAACACCTTACTACGAAGATCAAAGCTCGCCGATAGCACACTGTCTCTGTATTAGCAACCTTTCCCATTTTCACCCGCGTCCTTGCAACTGCTTAGGAACGTCGTGATATTGATAATATATGTTGTTTGATTTACTCTTTAGAACTTAAATTGCCCATTTAGCTAGCCTTCGTTGGAAAGAAAGAGCGATTGATCGTCGGTCATTCAATTCAATTATTTAATTAAGTTATGTAGATAGTTTCAATACAGTTTATTAGCGATTAAATCGATTCTCTTTTCAAAATCGTACAAGTTTTTGGCATCGATAGCTCATTTATACCTTATACATGTTAAGGTATTCGTATATATTGATGGGAGATCCATTTCTATATAGACTTAATCGTTCAATGAAAATTAATTGCCTGTGTATAAAAGCAAGGACATTCAACAATAAGTGATAATCATCCTCGGTTCTATATACCCCTTTCAGGTTCGGGTCTTTAATCACTGAGTTACAATAGGTAACCGCTCTCTTAATTAAACCACCGTAAAAGATATTAAATAGAGGGATTTATAACGAAATAATTAAACAGCGGTCGGATAGGGGCTATCATGACGAATGTATAAGTCCTTAACTAAAATATTTGTTTCTTACGATTGGCTGATACTGGAAGGATTTCCTTATACTGTAATCATAAATATAATTGTTAAGTAGGCTTAGGTCTACGTAACATTGCGCATATATATAGGCCTAACTATAAAATATTAAATGATACCGGTATGCCATCTATACTGAACGAAGTGATGATAACATTTATTTAAAATTCATCGATTTGTTTTTACATTTTGCCTTTCTGCCCTCTTGAGCTATCGCGTCGATTCCGTTGTCTATTGCGCACGCGCATTACAGCGTTAGGCCTATTATATAGTCATTTTTAGTAATTTTCTTGGTTGTTTTAACACACTAGTTATAAGCATATACTATATATATACTGTCTCTTATACACATCTAGATGTGTATAAGAGACAGGTATGGCGCACAGTAATTGACTAATTA